ATTATCAAGTTGGGCATAGATTTCATGATCATTAATATCCCCTTGCTGTAGTTCTTCGTTATCTTCACTACAGTTTTCAATAATATCTAGGCAAGCAGAGGGACCACGGGGCACCTCTCTTAAGTTTTCATGGGAATATTTAAAAATTCGATTTGACCCATTGATATGTTTTAATTCATAGCGATCATTAGTCAAGACAGCAGTAATTTTAAAAGGACCTTTGTACTTCCTATCTAGTTTGGTCTGATGTCTTTCTTCGGATTTCACGAACACGTAATCACCTATAGAAAATGGTTTAATTTTGGCTTTACCTTTGTTGAAGCGAATGGAGTCTGCTTGTGATAATTTAATGATATTATCTGACGCGCTTGCTCTAATGTTATCAAGGTCTAATCTGTGTTTTTCATTGTCTGGGAAAGAAGTAGCTATTTTAGATAACCCTAAGGAATTACCTTGAATTCCAAACAGTAGTTCGGTAGGTGTAAAACCGGTCACCCTACAACGTGTGCTATTGAGGGCTAATTGAATTTCACCTATCTGATCCTGCCACGAGCTATCAGAATTGCATTCTATTATCGTGAGCAGACTTTTAGGAGTTCGCATCACTCTTTCGACCTGGCCATTAGCTCTACTGGAACCAGTTGCAATTAGATGTAAATGAATGTTATGATCTTTACAAAAATCTTTAAAATCTGAATTGTCATATGAACGTCCACGATCAGCAATTATACTTTTGGGGGCACCAAAAAGATTTACCAAATTTTTCAGTGCTTTAATAGCATGACAAGAATTTAACGAAGTAGTATGTTCCAAAATTACAAATTTTGTAAAAGCATCTATAGCAACAGAGCAATATTGTTTTAAATCGCTTTTACCACTTAGTTTGCCAGACAAATCTAGATGAATGGTATGCCATGGAATAGCTGGTTTTGGGATTGGGTGTAATTGTACTTGTTGAGCACCCGAAGGTCCCTTAGATGCTTTGCATATTACGCAGGAATCGATATATTTTTTAACATATTTTGCCATATTCGGAAACCAGTAGAGATCATACAATTTATCGAGAGTTTTTTCGTAGCCAAGATGTTTTATTTCATTATGAACATGGCCGATTAGGGTCCATGTTAATGATCTAGGAACAATGGGTAACCATTTTGAAATTTTGCCCCGTTCAATTTTTCGAAAGAGAACGCCCTGTCTAATATCGTACGTGTGTGATATTTTAGTCGGATAATCACTGGACTTTAATTTTGAAATGGTATCTGCGATCTCAGAATCACGTTGTTGTTCTACAAAAAGCCATCCCTTTTCCAGCTCTGTAAGATTAACGATCTTTGGTGTTTGATTGACACTTGGAGATAGATCGTCATGAGCAAAATTACGTGAAAAAAAATCGGCATGAGCCATATTTCTACCTTCTTTATAAACTATATTGAAATCATAGGACTGCAGTATAGCCCACCATCTATGTACTCTGGGCATCAAGTCTTTCTTTGAGTGAGAAGCTTTTAGAGAACTGCAGTCAGTAAAAACTGTAAATTTACGACCGTACAAATAGTGCCGAAAATGCTCTACAGCCTTAACTACCGCCAAAGTTTCGAGCTCGTATGAGTGATAACGACTCTCTGCACCAGTTGTTCGGTGGCTAAAGTAAGCAATCACGTGAGGTAAATGATTTACTTTTTGTATCAGAACTGCGCCGTAACCTTCGCTACTCGCGTCTGTGTGAATTTCTATGGGAAGCTTTGGATCAAATATTTTAAGAACAGGCTCGGTTGTCAAATAAGTGATTATAGTTTTTAGAACTTTATTGTGATCGGGAGTCCATGATATTTTCCCTTTCCCTGCGGCAGTCAAAGGGTAAAGAGGTTTTAGTAATTTAGAGAAATTGGGAATGAATTTACGGAAATAAGAGGCCAAGCCAATCAACTGTCTTACTTGGGTAACAGTGCTTGGGGTTGGCAATTTTTGCAAAGCTTCTATTTTCCGATGATTTGGTCTAACTTCTCCAGAAGAAATCGTATATCCCAAATATTCGATCTTCTTTTTCATAAATGAACATTTATCAAACTTGAAAGAAAACCCTGAATTAGAAAGTGTTTCTAGTAATTTGTCTAGCCTCGCTAAACCTTCATTGACCGTTTCCGATACAGAGAGTACGTCATCCATGTAAACTAGGATTCTGTCATCGTCGAGGGGCTTAAGTGCGGAATTGATGGCTCTTTGAAAGACTTGTGGGGCATTTCGAAGCCCAAAAGGCATAGTTAGATATTCGAACTGACCGATTGGAGTAACAAAAGCAGTTTTCTCTACCGAGTCTTCATGAACTTTGATCTGATGAAACCCCGAGGCCATATCTATACTTGAAAAGTAATTTGCTCCGTGTAGCTTATCTATTTGGTCACTAATCAATGGAAGTGGGTAGCTATCAGAACGCGTATTTTTATTCAACTCGCGATAATCAACACACAAACGATCACTACCATCTTTTTTTTTTACCAACAAAGTGGGACTTGCAAAGGGTGAAGAACTTTCTCGGATGATATTTGCATCGAGAAGTTCTTTGACTTTATTATTAACGATTTCTAACTCCATAGGGGATACTCTATAAGGTCGCCTATGAGCTATTTTGCTTGGGTCAATAAGTTGAATTTTTAACTCGCCTGTGGTAACCTGCGTGGTTGGTAGCTGGCTAATAAAATTGTTGGAATACTTATTTAAAATACTTATAAGCTTTTCTTTGTCGGAGCCTGTTAAGTCAGTATCAATAGTTTGTAGTCCATTGTTCAGCTTTGTACAGAAATTTGTTATCTTGGGCTTGAAAAAATGTATTGAGTTACTATTAATTTCCACAGAAACTTCGTTTTGCAATATATCACGTCCTAACAAAACCTCTTCGTTTGTACATTCGTCCGGTAATACGTGAAAAGTGACATTTAAAGGCAAACCCTGAATGCAAACCAAGCATCTTACTTGCAAAGGAGATATAATGCTACTGACCCCTATACCCTTTAATAGAATCTGATCATGAAACCTATCACCCTCAAGGTGATCACTTTTACTTTGTTTAATGAGACTACATTCTGAACCAGAGTCAAAAATAAACGACAATTTCATACCACTAGTTTCCAGGGTACCGCGAGCTGCCTTGGAGCACAGGTTGACTTGCTTGCTGCTCGATGGGGCGTCTTCTTTCTTGATAAGTCGCTTAGGACAGTTGCTGGCTATGTGGCTGGTGTCATGGCAGATGTAGCAGGATGTCGTAGCCTTCCTTTGCTCGGGTTTATGCGATACAGAGATATTTTTATTAGTGAAACGATGTTTGTCACGACATTCGAAACCGCGGTGTCCAACTCTTCCACAGAAGTGGCAACTACCCTTAAACATTGTGGACGTTCGAATCTTCTTGGGTTCTATTTCTGATGCGACGGACTCGTCACTGCACCTTTTAAGTGAAATTCCCCGCAAGATACGAAAAAGTTGATGCTTATCGTTTACGACAACTGAATTCAATTCACGACGAATTTTGTCGTCACATTGGGATAAAACAGAGATCACAAAACCAGTGATAACGTGTTCGGGTAAGTTGGCATCAGGGATTCTTTCAATTAGCTGCCATAAACGCAAGCCGGCCTCAGCGGGACTATCTTTATTACAAATGCGAAACTTAATTATTTGATCGAAATGATCTTGCATCATCATAGGTTTACAAAAATTTGAGATAAGCATTTCCTTAATGGTGGGCCAAGAAATTTTGTCAGGTTGCATTTTTTGTAAGGCAGGTAGCAGCACGCCCCTTAAGGGAATGAGTTAGTGCAATGATAAGGTCAACACCTTCTAATTTTCTTTTTTCTATGATCATTTCGCTTAATGCGCACCAGTTGCTGATATCAGACTCTGGGATATCGGGGTCGAAAGATACCAAAACTGTCGGTATGGTAGATGAAGAGTTTTGTTGGGAATTTATGCTATCAGCCATTTTTTTGAACATTGTTTCCATTCCAGAGAAGAAAGAGATTGGTGGTTGTGCCAAAATATTATGGTGTGAGGGTGGATCTGATCCCACTTCTGATGTAGGAGAGAGGTGGTCCATGCTGAATAAGTAGTCGCAGAGATTTAAGGAACACTATTTATTTAATTTAATTATAAATTGCACTATTACAATTAAAGATAATAATCAATTCTATATTAATTATCTGCGCGCGTCTAGGATAAGCTACAACCTAGTACAACTAGTGCGCCGAGTCACGCCAGAGCCGAGACTGCCGATCCGTCGCTGCGCGTTCGTTTTATACCCGTTGCAAAGCAAGTCGAGTAGTGGGGCGGTGGGGGAAAGCGTGCGGCGCGCCGGTGGCGTGATCGGTGCACGTGCTGTTTACAGTTAACAGCTGTGCCGGCAGCTGTGGCGTACGACGACGCTGTCGTTATGCCGTCATATACTTTTTTTGTGGATAATATACTTACACAAAAGGATTGTGAAAATATTATTTACTAGCTGTTCCACGCGACTTCGTCCGCATGAAATATATTACGGTTTGATTTCATAGGTTTGGATTATTTTACGCAGAGTTCTAATTGTTCTAAAATAAAAGTAGACATTAGCCGGAACAAACTGACACATAAAGAGAACGACCGACAGACAGACAGACGAAAATTTTAAAAGTTGTTGATTAAAACTACTGTTACCAATGGATTTGAAACCATCGACACCTATATAATATATTATTACATATTACAGCTATATATATGATTACAGTACTGCATGGATCTTTTGGCACGTGGCTATAATCGGAACTAAACGCCGTCATTGCCGCCATCTTGTAAAACGTCAGTTTAGACCTTTGAGCATAGAACTATGCTCAAAGGTTTAGACAGCCGGCTCAAGTCGTTGTTGTATACCGTTATTTATTGCTTTTAATGCCGTTTATAAATCTCAAAATATGCCGAAATTGATAAGAAGTGATACTAGAGAGGTGGTGCTAAATGTGAAGAGATTTTTTATGAAGGAAAAGCAATCTAGCGCCCCTGTTATTCCATTTGAAAGAGTAAATGAGCGCGTTGCAGCTGCTACAGGTAAGTGATGCCATACATAGTATCCTTAGTTTGCTCGTTTTATTTACCAAGGATAGTGGTCATATTTGGAGGCATATTATGAGATATATTTTCTCCTTCAAATTAATAAAAATAAATACGATTTCAGGTATATCTTTACGAACAGTTGCAAGAATTACAAATGAAGGGAAATTAGCTGAAGAATCGTCAAGTAAAATAGTAACACCGGGGAAAAAAAGAAAAACAAGGAAGGGTAAAATTATTATGGACAATTTTGATATTGGTGTTCTTAGACTAAAGATCCATGAGTTTTATTCTTGTAAAAAAAGAAATACCAACAGTGAATAAGTTGCTTCGTCTACTTAAAGAAGAGATTGGATTCACTGGCAGTAGAGAAATTCTCAGACAGCACATAAAAAAGATTGGTTTTCGATATAAAAAAACTAAAAGCAATAGAAAAGTACTGATGGAACTTAACGATATAACTGCTTGGCGCGCTCTTTATCTTCAGGTAGGTACATTTATTTTCTATTCATAATGTATTTTAAATTAAAGTGACACACTTATTCATGAGTAACATAGAATTATTTTATTTCAGACTATAAAGCGTAATGACGAGACAGAAAAATTACCAGTTGTTTACTTAGATGAGACATATATTCACTCCGGTCATACAGCTGGTAAATGTTGGCAGGATGATGATGAAGGTATTGTTTAGTTAACTATCTCATAATATTTATAGTCTAGTTAATTAGTGTTATTTGCATTTGTTAATGTACAAACGATTGATTTCAGAAGGAATATTAGAGCCTGTCTCCAAAGGACAAAGATTTATTATTGTCCATGCCGGAGGTAATGAAGGTTTTGTAGAGAATGCATGTTTGGTGTTCAAGTCACAAACAAAAAGTGGTGATTACCATGATGATATGAATCACACAAATTTTAAAAAAATAGGTTGCAGAAAAGTTAGCTCCCAATTTGACAAAACCCAGTTTAATTATAATGGACAACGCTCCATATCACAACACACGCATCAACAAACCCCCAAACACAACTACCAGAAAACCAGAAATAATTGAGTGGTTACAAAATAACAATATTGAATATTCAGAAGAATACACAAGACCACAATTGTTGGAAATTGTCAATAGATATAAGCCCAAACCAGTGTATGCTGTTGATGCTATTTTAAAAGGACTGGGTCACAAGGTAATCATGAAATACTAAATCTACTAGTAAAGTGACTTCATAAATTGTTTTTTTTTTATTAAAATAAATGAATATGGGTTTATTTAAAATTGCTTATTTTCTTTTTCAGATATCGCGTTTACCACCGTATCATTGTGACCTCAATCCTATTGAAATGATCTGGGCATCAATGAAACGCAAAGTAGCTGAGGTAAATATTGGCAAACCAGCCAATCAAATGCCAGAAATGGTACAGGAAGCTTTTAATTCCATTCCCGTCGAAGAATGGTGCAATCATTGTGCCCACGTCAAGAAACTTGAAGAAGAATACAGAAGTAAAGATGGATATTTGGATGCACCTTTCATCGTGGAATTATGCTCTGAGAGTGAAGAAAGCAGTGATGACGATTCTCAAGATGAAAGTGATGAAGAATTTAATAGCATTGAACCTCTCGCCATAGTTCATGCAGAACATAATTATAGTAAAAAAAATTTGAAATTCGTTTCCTATTGCATTATAGTTTTCATGTTATAAATTCTGTCATCCAAATATTTCCTTCTTTTAATTTATACTACTAAGGTAGCAACTAAGCATAATGCCTGCCTTATGGTAAGCCTGAGCCTGCAAAAACCATTTTACAACCTAGTTATATAACCCAACTAGCTTTCGCCATAACATCATTCCCAACGTGTATGCAAAATTTCATGATGATCGGTTCAGTAGATAGGGTGTGAAAGCGTAACAAACAAACAAGCAAACTCACTTTCGCATTTATAATATTAGTTGGGATACTGCCAAGCCCCATACTCCATAATTAAGACGAATTCCATAAAACAAAGGATTTTTTTAGCTGGTAACCGTTAGTGAACACCCACGCCCTCATGTCAATGTCATGCAAGTGCCAAATGATCCTTGTGGGACTATATAAGGTTAATAAATTATAAAACCATAGAGTAACATATTATGTAAGAATAATAAGATTTGTTAGTAATCGTAACATCGTTATAAACTATAAAAGGTAATGCTGTGTCTTAGTGGGCGTTCTATTGTGAGTATCCCGCCTACAAGTTAGTTACTCTGCTCAAATCTGTGCTCATTTACATTAACGGCTACCTCAGCTCAAATTCTAATTTCGTCTCCACTTTCCCGCGTCACTCGTTCGCGCACTATGCGTGGCTCGAGGTCACGCGGTCACGCTCTATCCGACGAGCACTAAGTAGGTAATAAAGTTTACAGTCATAATTTAATATTACTCGTAACTTGTCATTATATGAACATAAAATTATATATCGCAAATTTAATTTCATTGTACATACCTAACGGCATATTCTTACAACTAAAAAAACTATATTGTAAGTTTATAAGATTACACTATATACCTATTATATATATATATATATATATATATATATATATATATATATATAAGTAGTATATAATACGAGGCGAATACTATATTGTAAGTTTATAAGATTGTAAAATGCAAAGCGTAAACTTACTACCAAGCTAGGGTTGTCAAGTCTTTAAAACGAAACGCCGGACAGACCATCCAGCTTAGCCGGATATTTTGATAAAAAGGCCGGAAACCCTTAATTATTTAGTCTTAGTATAACACGATAATATATTTCTAAAGTAAATCAATGCTTATATAATTTACCATACAATCTTAAATTAAAATTGAATGAATCAGTGTTCTTTATTATTAATCATTCAATATATAAATATTGAATGATTAATAATAAATATTAATACAATATTAATTTCAATAATTGCAAAAGTATATATTTAAGTATTTAAAACATGTAAAAAAATGGTCAAATATAAAAAGCCTGACAAAAGCCGGACAGGCCGGACACCGTCCAATTTGGCCAGAAACGCAATCAAAAAGCGTGACTGTGTCCGGCTTTATCTGGACGCCTGGCAACGCTACACCAAGCCAATGCATACAGAACTTCAGTGCAATCACGGTAATTTTATCTATACAGTATTCCAACTTCATACAAACGGACGAAGCCGGAGCTATGCCTACGCGCCTCGATCTCGGCATGCACGTAGTCGTGACTGTGCCACAGTGATGATTTTGTGAAATATATAAAAAAATGGAGGAAATATTCTGAACTTCATTTAAAACCAAACATATAAATTGTAAAGTAGCTGCAGGTATCTATAACCAAGTAAAAAATATTCCTTTTCTCCACCTTGTCCATGTTTACCAAAACATTTTTTAAATAAGCTTTATATTAGAATGCGGATATTCTATAGTTGAAAATTTAAGGGGATATAGTAAGTCAGCTCAAATTCTAATTTCGCCCCCACTTCCCCGCGCGTCGTATGCTATGTACCGACATGTTTGTAATCACTAATACTGTAAGTAGATAGGTCGTTAGCTACTTATTTCATTAGGTTTATCATATCTATGCCTGTTTCTTAACGCCAACCCAGTCGCTTCTTATTTTTATAACGGTTATTTCCCATTTTAATTTTATGTCGTCCTGTTGCGTAATGTGTATTCTGATCGTAAGCGACACAACTTCTCCCTTCAAAAGCCGGAGCGATACTAACGGGGCGACAGGAATCAAGCTTACGCGCCGATAGTTTAGGTAATTTCTTTTTTACAGTGAAAATAATGGTATTTAAAAAAAAGTAAATAACGTAAGCACTGCTTTATAGTTAGTTCAGTTAGTATGCAAAGTTTCATGATCTTATTTAAAGTATTTTATGAATAACAGCGGTTTATTGTTCAGTTTGGAGGTAACTTTGGATTTTTTTCTATCGAGAAAATTTTACGGAATCGTGTTTTTGTCTAACATAATCCTTAACATTAATCGTCAACTTTACTATATATTTATTTCAAAATTAATGCTGCAATACTTTCGGCATAACGGAGGATCTTGCTAAGCTATTTGAGGTTATATTTCCCCTTAATAATAAAGCATTTCGTACGTCTCAGTCGACGCGCAAATATTTTTCGGTCGCAAATTTACAAGACCGATTTGTTATTCAAACATAAACATAGTTTTTTTAATTAAATATACCAATCAAAAAACGACACGCATTTTTATTGAACACTTCCTATTCAATTCACAAAGTAACTATTTTATTTGTTTATATAAAAAAAAATATATTTACAATCATGAAACTAAATGGAAACACAAAGTAGGAAAATCTAATTAAAATTCTGGAGGCAGGCAGCCCTATCGCATGATTACATACCGCTCGGCTGTAGGCATTTGTACGGCCGAGACAATACTGTTATAGATAAAATTACCGTGGTACAATGGTGATTCGCGCTTGACTAGTTTTTTGTAGCAGTAGAATTTATGCAGTGGCTTAGAATCGGTTTGCAAAATTTCTTATATAGGTATGTATATGTAGGTACTTGCACAGACCTGCTACCAACATAATTACATACGTAAACGGCTGTCATATTACATACATACACGGCGAAAACTATAAAACTCAAGCTTAGTACTAAACCAACAATGGGCAGATCCTTCCACTATAAGAGGAATTTCCAGTAAAAGCTGACCTCTCATTGTACGTAATGCGTTTACAATTTGAGATCAGCTTAGGTATACTGGAGAGTTTAGTTTGGTAATTATGTAGCCACGTGTACTAGTAACATATTATCTGTTATATGTTTAGGTAGGTAGAAAATATTCACGTACTCACAATTTAGCTAAAGCTAAACTATCAAGGTACGTCAGTACTCAATAGGTCCATAATTTTTATGTACTTATGTAGTAGGTAGCACTATAGTAGTTATTTTTTTAAAAACGTTACTCCCACACTAGGATTTTCTCTTGTATCATTGAGGCAGTTTACAAATATAAATTGCACAAAGACAAACATCCAGATCCGGAACAATTATTTGTACTAGGTCATACAAATAATTGTTCCGTGCGGGATTCGAACCCACGGACTCCAGCTCAGCAACTCATTGCTAAGCCAGTGCACTATGGAGTACCGATAATGTAAGGACGGATAAGTATTTTAGTTTTATTTCTTTATAGTTAGATATTATAGTTAGATATTATAGGTAGGTACTTACCGAACATACTTATATTTTTTTTTATTACTAACTAAGTGCTTGGCTTCTGCACTACGGGTCGGGGGTTCGATTCCCATACGGAACAAATATTTTATTGGCCTACAGATAGTGTATGGTAGTTGTGTTTGTAATCGCACCGTCTCCGATTCAGGAGATATCCTGGAGTGGGGCAACGTTATAAAAAAAACAATTACTACTAATTTTGTTGAATATTGACAAAACAAAAACAAACCTATTTAGGTAACTTTTATCTTTTTTTTTCATAAAGTTGCACCACACTCGATTTCTCCTGAATCGTAGACGGTGCGATTACAACCACAAATTTTCACATACAGAAACACCTGTGACTAGCAGCGCAACAACCAATCGCTTAGCCACTGCACCAAACCTGTCATATGCTACATTTCTACATAATATTGTAATCACTAATACTGTAAGTAGATGGGTCGGTAGATACTTACTTCATTAAGTTTATCATACGCTTCTTATTTTTATTACGCTTATTTCACATTGCGCCAACACTATAAACCTAAGTGTCTATTTTAATATTACATCGTCCTGTTGCGTAATGTGTGTTTTGAGCACAAGCGACACAACCCTTCCCTTCAAAAGCCGGAGCTAGAGTGAATGAATGACTGTGTCGGGCGGTTTAAAACGACGATAGTTTAGGTAATTTCTTTTTTACGGTAAAAGTAATGATAAATAAAAAAAGTAAATAACATAAGTCCTGCTTTATACTTAGTTCAGTTAGTATGCAAAGTTTCATGATATAATTTTAAGTATTTTTTGAATGCCAGCGGTTTATAATTCGGTTTGGAGGTAACTTTGGATTTTTTTCTATCGAGAAAATTTTATGGAATCGTGTTTTCGTCTAACATAGTACTTAACATTAATCCTCAACTTCACCATATATTTATTTCAAAAACAATGATGCAGTAGTTTTGGCATAACAGAGGATCTTGCTAAGCCATTTGAGGTCATATAGCCCCTTAAGTAAGGAATAAAATATAATTACTGTGATTCATTGATCGAGTGAATAAAAAGAGCTACGGTGTAATCTGTTTTACTTCATATCTAGTAATTAAATCTACTTTTACGGATTTTATCGCGTTTATTTTACTTTTAAATAAACGCGATAAAATCCGTAAAAGTAGTTTTAATCAATGTGTAGTGTTCGCGTAATAAGAAATCATTATTTAAAAATTGTTCTTTTTTTGTTATGAGTACCGTAAGTAACCTGTAAGTTATAAATACATATTAATATGTATTTATTAAAAAGGTGTTACTTTGACATTACAAACACTTCAATTTTATTTATTTGTATAGATAAAAAGTCATTTACTAAGGCTACTAATTAAGTTTACCTATTTTATATACCAATCATTTTCTATAACACAATTTATCTGAGTCCCTCCCTGTAACGCTTATTCCTTTCATAAAAATGATTAATAAATTGAAATTGGAGAATAGAGAATAGTGATTT